TTTTAATCACTTTATAGTACATTTAAAGGATGTCAAGTTATGCTAATTCTCTCATTTGAATTCTTCAAAAGTTGATATAACTTAGGGCATTTACATAAATACCACATAATTCTTGTCTCAACATATTAGACACATAAACTTAGATATAGGACATTGTAATCTAAACCGCTTCCAGCTAAATGCAAATAATATAGGGCATTGTAATCCGTAAAATGATCTTCCATAACCATTTATAAAAAGCTTTAATCCTTAATAAAGTTATTTATTACATCACCAGTGCACATAAAGTAACTTCTACTATCAAATACTCATAAGTTACAATTATTTTGTCTTTCTAACAAATTACAAATCAATCACATATTAACCAACGCATTAGTAATTTGTTCTCGAATGACTGTCATTTCAGACCTTCCCCTTCCTTAGTACAAATCCCCTTCCTTAGTACAAATGGTTGATTGTTCGCTGTCATATCGTAACATAGAACTACCAATTTGGTTTTCACATGGATCTTCAACTATTTCCTGTTGATTTGCTTCAGCATTGAGGAAATCAACGTCATATTGAGATGGGTGTCGCCTAATATAATTGTGTATTGTCATCGTTCCTATCACAATCTGAATCTGTTTTGGAAATAGGTAATGAGGCATATCACGTAATATCACTCATCTCTTCTTCCATACATCAAATGTCCTCTCGATGACGCCTCGCAAAGAGAAATGACTTTTGTTGAACACCTTTATGTTTCGTGTAACATTACTTGCTCGTTTAAAATCAGGTATATGATATCTATTATCAGGATATGGTTTGAGATACCCTTGCTGCAACGGATAACCAGCATCCACCAAATAATATTTTTCTGTAAGGTGTTGAACCTTCAGTTTCACATTTTAAAAAAATACAATAAATATTTCGTGGTGCAGCATACCTTGAGGAGGATGGTGATAGCTATAATGCGAATTCCGTGTTGCACTCTTGAAAATTCTGCTGTCATGTGCACTAACCTCCCAACCAGACATGATAAATGTGAAACACATATTAAAGTCACAAACTGCCATGACATTCCGATAAATGCAATTTTCTCATCATTTGAAACACGTGCATCAACATGTGTTCCATCTATCGCACTGATGCAATCCTAAACATGTAGGTTTAGTAATTCATTAATTAATGTCATGCTTTCATGTTAAATTTTATTAATATAAGATTAAATCAGTACCTTAAAGAATGACATGTAGCATCGATCGTGGCAAATCTCCGTAGGAGTTCGTGAAAAAGTTGTATCCATTGGCTTTATGACTTGTTTGACGAGGCTCACCAAAGCACTCAAATCCACTGAGAAGTACCTGCTAATGGTCTCTGATGAGGGATGGAAACTTTCCATCGCACCACGCATTAACTTGTTATGTAATAATATATAAAGAGTAATCGTCAAGACCTCACGGTCAGTCATCCTCATAGACCCATGGAGGCCATGAGATCTAACGAGTTCTGCTAAAAGATCTGTAAAAACCTCATGTGTCATGCGGAACATGTTGTGAAATCTTGTGGGATGCCCGACAAGCATTTCTGCAACCCATTTGTCTCCAAAATGTGATGATGTGTAACAGGGAGAACGGTCGATATATGCGTTGTAGTACTCTACGAGCAAGTTGATAGCTGTGTTTCTCTTTCTACGACGTACTTGGTCCGGGTCCATAATGATGTATACTGGACACATTTTGACAAAGAAAACTAAATTATTAAGCTAATCATCACTATGAAAAGAAGTCTATTATTTAACCTGTGACAAGTAATAACACAAGCATTCAGTGTAGATCAAAGTTATGGACTTCTAAAGAACTTTTACCAACAGATTAGATTTTCGCAGTTTTCATAAAGATAGTTATATGTAAAAACTGAATAGTCTCAATCAACAACAGTTCAAATAACTGCGTCTTCTCATAAACTGTTCAAATAAGCACATAGCAAATACTAAAAAACTCCATTCAAATTTTCCTGCGCTCATAAAAATGTCGTAGATACGACACCCTTCGCTCTTTGGCAATTGCTGTGAAAAAATCTCTCTGCACCGAATCTTCAGCTCATCATCCGCTGCAATACTCGAATCCTGCTCTAAAATTGCCACAACCTCGTTAATTGACATTTTTTGCACTTTATGAGGGGCATCGTTGGAAGAATCCATAAGACATGATATTTGGTTTCTAATAGAAGCAGCTCCACCATTTTACTCTCGAACCTAAATCGCTTTGAGCGATTCGTGGATTGAATCTCAGTTGGACCTGAACCTGGGAAATCAGATGAATCATTTGATAAGCTGACAACAACATTGTCTCGTGTTTCACCAATCCTACCTCGTTGGGAGCGCATGCATATTTTCCTGTGGCGACGACACCCCTGGACATCAAGTCTAACTTCTCCTCCAAATCGGGTTCAATTGCACGAGTTTTATACTTTTTCACTGCGGGCACCACCTGGAGAAAAAACCTAAATCAGTTCTAAAGCTTAAAAGAGAAAAATATTATGGAAATTATCAAAAATTAAAATTACTAACCGCGAGCCTTTCTGCCCATCACTCTTCCGCGGCATCAATGGTTCCTTTTATCGGATCCCAACCCAAATCAGTTGAACCACGTTTTAAATCCTTCCAAATTTTTCAATCTTTTTTCAGTTGATCCCATTTGTTTTTCATTTATAGCCTGTCGTACTCCCGTCCCGTGGAGTCTTTAAAATTTTTAATGATATTCTGCCAACCTTCTTTATTAAAAAATGTTGTTGGTCTATTGCCCAGTTCTATTTCTTTTATACAAAGGTCGCAAAAAAACATTTTGATTTCTTTTTCCCAGAGTGCTGGTGAACCATGTTCTTTAGCCTTACCAACCATGTTAAAACTATGATAAAGCAAATAAATGAAACACAACAATGACATAATTTAGAAGTTATATAACATGAGAATCATTGATGGGTGTTGCATCATATTCAATAAAAACAAACAATTTAAGGAAGCATAAAAATGAAAAAAAGGACACAAAATTTAACGTGGTTCGGTCAACATGACCTACATCCACGGCAAAGGAGGCCAACAACTTTATTATAACACCAAACAGGAAGATACAAAACTTTGATTCATACATTACTCCTTATCTGAAGCAAAAAAAAAACTAGCAACATATATAGAAAATCAAGTGTTGCCATGATGGATCCCATCCCAGAAATCTGACATAATAGAAGCAAAATACATTACTCCCATAATGATTCATACATTAATCTCTCCCAGATGCATAATACATTACTCCCACCCACACAGCCCTTCGAAGCCTGCATACAATAATCGGGCATAATAGAAAACCGACAACATATCCAATAAAGAGGCAACCCGAAGCAAAAAAAAAAAAATATTGTTGCGACGACCAATGCCAACTTGCCAAGTACTGGAGCAATGCAAAACAAGTTAGGTATAAAGGGTTAGAAATTTCCTCAATGGTTTTACAGGGGCAACATTGAGAGGCCACTCGAAGCCCCTTACCCCAAATGTGCTCCCCATATCAAATTTTTATAAGAGAATTGCTACTCATATTTAAAGTTAGAGTCAAAACCTTAACAGGTATTTTTAGGAGTAAAGAATCCTTCTTCTCCTAGTGAATAGGTATTCAAGTAATAGCAGCAGAAGAAGACCCTAGAACCTCCCCTAATGACAGTTCAATATTCCACCAATCCATACACATCACTCGATTCTTATGTGATGTTAAGGATTAAATGATATGCTCGTAAGTATAAAACTTTAGGTGCGAGAGATATAAATACATAAGAATTGTGTGCAATGTATGTAAATGCACCAATGCAAAGTAAACTGTGCATATATAAATTTAGTTTATCACAACATAACACCTAAAGTGTGCAAACTAAATTGTGCATATATAAATTAATTAATAGGACTGCTAAAATGGAAATCTTCCATCAATAGTTAACCAATTTCAATTGTAACATTAAAAAAGCAGTGGAGTTCATTACCAAACTCCAAAATTGCAAGGCAACTTTTGAGATGTTACCCTTGCATAAGTTGACAATGCTCAAGTAGTTGACCCAACAATTTCAAATGATTCTACAAGTATAGTTATGTTAAAGGCAAACTCCTTGAGCATGTTGGTCCATCATAAAAATAACTCCAAAATTTGTTATACAAAAAACAACTCCAAAAGTTAGCAAGAAAAATGAAACGAAAAAGAAAATCAATGATGCAACCTTATCATGCTTTTGAAAGTTCAAATTGCAAAGACGCCAATATGGCAGCTGTTTCATCAAAAAGAGAAAAAAATATAACCATTGTTGACTTCAATGTGGATCCACTTGCCCCAAAATGAGAATTGAATTCAGTTACATATGATCTTGGCCCCTTGATCCTCTCCAGCGAGTTAAACAGAGATTGAGAGGGATTTCAATAGGCCTAAATCATATGGATGTTATATGAATGAAATTGGAGCATTGCCACTTTACTGGTTCTTTGACCAAAACCTTCAAGAAGATGCATGCACGCCCATCTAGAAATACATGTATGAATATTTCACTCCCCACAACCACATATTATAGCCTCAAAGATCATCGCAATACTAATGTGCCAGAATCATGACATCACGAATACCATAATCCCAATCTAGAGCCAACAAATACCATAAGATCATTGCAATAACAATGTGTCAGGAACTCTTCAAAGCATTAAACATAAAACACTAATGTGTCAGGATTAAAGCATTCAAAGGGAAATATCAAAGAGGTGACAAACCAAGAGCTGGAACAATATTAACAAGCAACCAAAAGGATCACTTAGCTACCCTACGTGAAACTCCAGATCCACCAAAAAAAAAAGAGGAAAAAATGAAAATGGCAGAAACGGGAAAGAGATAAGGAGGATAAGCCATCAGAGCTGCAAAAACGCATACCTTCCTCAGATCCGCAAAAATAATTGAAGAGAATGGTTTGTCATACCTGAGATCGGTCGTTCGAGGTTAGGAAAGAAGAAGGCGCGGGGGATTCACGAGAGAGGCAGCGGGGAAGCAGCTAGGGTAGAGGAGAAAGAATGCGGGGTAAAGGGTAAAAGCATCGGGGCGAAAGCTGGGCCGCGAGGTTAATCCCGCGGTCCGCTTTCTCTGAGCTTCGTCGAAGTTGTGCCGCTAATCTATGAACCAAACAATGAACTTTACCGCGCCACGGACACCCCGCCCTCCCAAATGAGCCCTTAAACTTCGAAATGGGTAATAAATTTTATATATATTTAAAAATGATAATATATAAAATTTACATTGCATTAAATTTATATGTTTTTAAATAATTAACATGAAAATTAATTTAATATATTTCATTTTATTTATGCATGAAATATGTATTTCACTTTTTAAAAATTAGAAAAATGATATGTTTTATATGATATGGATAATTTTGGTGGTATAAACGTAAAATAGAAAGAGTTCAAGTGTTAGATATGTAAATAAAAAAATTTGAGTGGTGTGTATATAAATTGAATTTCTTTGTAATAATGATTTTTTTTATATGATATGAGAGATTTGGGTGGTATAAATGTAAAAA